TCTTTCCTGTTGCAGCCACTGAGCTCGCCATGGCAACAGGAGATTGTGCGCCAGCTCTGAACAACGATGGTACTTGCCCGCGTGATGCTGGAGGTGAGCAGCCGACCACAGGCTCATCCTTGGCACAAGACAGAGCATGTATATTATTGGGAGTTTTGTTAGCAGGCTTAAGTTGATGCACAAATGCACTTCAGGTATGGCAGAAACATTACTGAGACTTATAAAACCTGCTTAGTTAGATATCTATTGGGCCCACATGAGTACATAGGTGGGTTTTTTTTTTTTTTTTTATAAGAACTAATCCTCTTAACAGGAAAGAAAGGCTTGGTTCCTTGGTGGCAGATTTCAGATCTGTCCTGTACCATCCTTGTTTCACTTTGATTTGCCTAGAACAATCCTGTACTGACTTCATACAGGTTCATCTCAGCCTTATTTAGTAAGCCAAGCATGTCATCTGCACAATGACACTTTGCATCTTTTTACAGATCAGTTTAAAAAGCAAATTGACAATGGAAGCTGCTCTCTGTTAAAATAAACTTTGCGGCCCTACTAGCTTCACTGGAGCAGCCTTGGTAAGTAACTCTGCACAGATGAAAATGTTACAGCAGCAGACCGAAGGACATGGGCAGGAATATCTGAAATGTTACTTCAAGCTTGCTATACACTTCGGGGAACAAACTGCTTCACCAGTGTATTAAGACTGGTAGGTGTGTATGTGTATATATGTATATATATATATATATAAAAAGTTATTTGGAGACAGCCTACAATAACCATTTCTAAGGCAAACTTCCTGAGAGAAGTACCAAAGATGTATTTGCTAACCTACTGAAAGTCAGGCCGCTTGATCAAATCTGCCTGTCAGTTCAAGCAGGTCTGATTGGATGTTAGTCTAGAGGCAGCCTGGGTGTAAATGGGAAGGTTTCCTTTACACCGTTACCCTCAATTCCAGCCAGGTCCAGGAAAAACTGAACAGTGTTCTGTTTGAGCTTGATTGGGGGTAATATGATGTAAACGGACACACGTCCAATTTCTCATAGTCCAACATGAGGTTTGGTAGTTTTAGTGCAACTACCCAAGCCACTAGATTCACATAACAGCCAAGTAACTCATATATTCACCCCTTGCTGCAAACAGCATGGACAAGATGGTGGCAGCACAAGCTCTCCAGCCTAATCCACTGAGCAGATATGACCCCCCCACATAGCCTCTTTACTTAAAAGAGAACTATGGGGTAAATGTTTTTCCCCATAGTTCTCTTTAGGGTCAAGGGAGGACATATACCAGCGCCCTCCCATGAACCAAAGCTCAGTATATAGCAAGCTACAGCTTGAGGTATACTGAGACCGCCGCAGCCGGGACGGATCCCCAACATTACTGTCGAGATCCACCCAGCTGCATGATTGACAACTGGATCTGCCTATCCAGAGACAGCTGTACCCGCCCCCTCCGCCCATCTGTTCCGCCAGTCAGCGCTGGAGGCTCAGAGGGGGGGGGGAGTGTAAGTTTCATTGTCACAAGTCGGCTCGAATTATGAGGATGAGTGATTTTTCACTCACCCTCATAGTTCCCCTTTAACTTGTTAGACCATGTTTCACCTATACTCAGGGTGTAACATGGTCAGATCGCTTCCATTTATCTGAATCCAGTGGTTCTCCTGCCATCCCTCCTCTCCTGTCTGTATATTCAGGATGGCTTTATTTACACATCATCCATTCACAGAATCTGTAAATAGACAGACTGCAAGTTAGAGCTGCAGCTAACGATTATTTTCAAAATCGATTAGTTAGCCGATTATTAGGTTCGATTAATCGGATAAACAATAAAATAAAGTTTAAAAAATTGCTCCAGTGATGGGACTACTAGTTTGTAGTCCATCTGCCACCAGAGCAAAGAAACTCATAGAGGTCAATGGGAGTACAAGTGTGGTGTAGTCTATGGATACTTCCTCCTGTCCTGCAACTTAAAGTCTGTACCTAAGTATGGACAGGGGCTAGAAAAATCTTTAAGAGCATGAGCATTACATCCAGAATCCATTGATCAAGGTTACAATGCTCTACAGGCACAAATGCAAAGATATCATGCATTTGTTTTTCTTTTACAAATATTTGTGAATGTAATCAATTTTGTTTTTGCAAACACTGGACTATTCCAATAAACGTTATTGAAAATCTGCCCTCTTAAAAAGGGTATATTTTCCCTACACATTTGTGAGGCTATTCCACATAAAAAACACACCAGTTGTGTAAAACAGTTTCAAACCACTGCAGTCAGACAGCTAAATGTCTCACAACACATTGAGGCTCATTTACATCTTTGCACTGCTCAGGAAAACACATTTAAGGGCTTGTTCACACCATTGAGTTGTGTTCTGCACATCACCACCCATGTGTAGTGTAAACAGGGCAGATGGAAAACAACTATATCGTTTGTGCCCTCCTCACACCATACACGTGCAGAAAAACACAGCTAACATACATGGTGTAAATAAGCCCTAAAAGGAAACCTTGGCTGACAGAAACATGGGCTGCCAGTGCTACATCTTTTTTACATGCTAGTTTCCAGGGGGGCATGCTGATCCACTGGCACCAATGCTCAGTCACTGACCTGCAATAGGGTATGGAGCGAAGGATGGGTAACTTTTGTGATTGGCAAACCTTCGGCCTCAGGAGATCAGTAATTGTAAGCCCAGTACTTTAGCATAAATGTGTAGTATTTGATACATGCAGCAATTTCCACAGGATACAAAATACACCCACACAGGACACCTATTCACCATGCAAACTTTACTTTAGAAAAGAAGTTTTTTTTTTTTTTTAAAGCTCTCCAGAATGTTTTTGTTTATTAACCCTTGCAGTGGGACTACCCCCCATACTGCAAGGGTTAACAGCTCATTTTTGTCTAGGTAAAAAAGAAAAAGTTATACTCATGAAGCTGGCTTGTTCTGAGACATCTGGAACGGAGGGGGAGAGAGGCCCCCAGGGACTTGGGCTCAGGTCCCATATGTTATCACATTTCATATACCAGGGGTCTCGAACTCAATTCACTCAGGGGCCACTAGACACATTTTTTTTCTCCCATGGGGGGCCGCTTGCCAAAATTCATACCACACCCACACCCAGAATTACAAACACTAATTTACACAAAATAAGGCCCCATTCACACCTGAAGCAC